CTTTTTCTGGTTTTGCAATATGCCTCCAGCACAAAGAGAGACAAACTTATTGAAATCTTGCGACAGAATTCACCATTAAAATCCAACTAGAACATATGAATTCCACATTTATTACTTCAAAAAACCAGCTGAAAACAAAGCAAGGATGAGCTTTCTTTTTAGTCTTCAGCTTGTCATTTTCTCCTCCAGATGACCTGTTTTCCCAAGCAAATTCAGAAAGCACCAAAATTTCCTTCAATATTGCAAGATGCTTCCTTATGATTCATCTTATTCAAAAAGCAGAATGTTTCGTTATAGCAATTACAATAAACCAGGCCATTTAGTCTTGACAGCTACCATGATTCAAATTTATGAGAATATCAACCCCTAGGTAGATCTTATCACTTAGGTAAGACAATTATTATTCATTATCCCCCACTGACATTATCCTCCAAAGTCACTTCCATCCATTCACACCGATAACCCTCATAATTCGACAAGGTCTCTTTCAAATATACAATTCACTATTTCCTCCGAATGCAGTGACTTATCGTGGATTTTGTACCCATGAGCATAACTTCCCACTTATCTATCCTTTTATTCTCCATGGATCTCCTAAAACCAACAAGTTATAGAAGATGATTGGACAGAGTATTATATCTGTTCCTTAAAGGACACCAAAAATTAACTACTAAAATAGGAAGGGGTGGAATAATTATGTGGCAGTCGTGCAAAGGAAATGAAGCAAAGTTTCAGACTTTTAAGCATTACAGTATCCTAAGAGAATTGCTGTAAGACAAAGTGTGAGGATACCCAATACAAGACCTTTCCTTAACTAGGACACAATGACAGTGAGCTAAAAATGGGAAATGATCTAAAGTGCTTACTATTGAAGATAACGCCGAACTTTTGTTTTGTGTACTATTTCTTATCGTTATTAGATAATATCGGGTATCCTAGAGCCAAGTTATTAGTATAAGAACCATCCAACTCTTAATATCATCATAACCCCCTTCCACTCCTAATGTATGACTAATCAAGGCTGATGACCTCGTCAATGTGCAAGATATAATCAAAAATCACTTATTGGTAGGCCACACGAGGTCCACGGTTCATGTGTAGATCCACAATGTGCTGTACCTCTTGCACCATTTACCGAATGTTCTTTCCAACACAGACTGATACCAATTGTGATTCGACTTGATAGATCTACCGATCCAATAACTTAAGATATATCAAGCCTAAGAGTTATGTGGCCAAGGCCTTTAAGACCAAATTATCAGTAGTAGATCCATATACTCTTACATAGAATAAAAACCTCCATCCCACTATTGGGATGTCATGTTTATACAGTGTGAAAGGAGGTTCCTTAGCACCTTCCTTTGAACTTAAAATTCATGGGATGAGGGGGCCATGTGCCTAGAAAGATAGAGGTGCATAAACACATAGGTGTCAGAGTATTACCTGCATAGTCCATCAGGTATTATGGAACAAGCAAAATCTATATGAGTAGCTGAGTGACGTGTCCAAGTTTTATGGATCATGCAGGATTCACTTCACTATATGTATTTTGAAGAATGCTTAATCAAAACATAGTTTAAATACTTGTCCATACAACCTAGCACTTTTGACCAAGTCAACAACATTGCTCACTAGATTTCTGAGTCAATTGGCTATGGACTCAAGTGCCAAAGACTATGATTCTAGCTCGATTGAGTATCGTGTCACTCATAACTCATTTTTGAGTTACTGTGTTATATCAAGCTTCTTTCAGCTGAGCCTACAACTTTTAGTATAAAGGGTTCTTCTTAAGTAATAGATTAGTACTAAACAAAGGGAAATAGTCTTCAAGCTTATTTTAGTAAGTTCTTACCAGATTTGATGATTGCACTAGCAAGCTGATTAACAACCATGCAGGTCTAGAAACATCATCACTTGAATCTAGGCTTGAGAATAAGTGTTCTAAGAGAGAAACAAAAAGGAACTTGACTGAAAATGAAAAAGAAAAAAAATATATCAATGCTGCACCCTCCTCTACCTAGGTTGATGCACCATTGCCAATTATATAGCAGAAATATTTTGATAGCAAAAAAGGCAAGCATGGAAAATCAAAACCTCCAAGTATCACAATCCTATAACATATTGGGCTACCAAATACCAAGAAGAAAGGCAAGAACTGAACCATTTGCCTACAGAAATTATGGCAATCCAATAAAAGATGCACAATGCACAACAATACCAAAGGAACTGTAAGGACCTCCTTATATAGAATATAACACATCACAAAGACCTACTATCACATCATGTACCTATCATCTTCACATGAAGTCCATCAGTTAAATATTCTTTAACCAGTAGCCTTGACATCAAATATGATGTTCCTAATAGAGATTCTTCTGAGAAAAAACTTAGGTGAGATCCTTCAACAATTCAGCATACTACATAATGTTAACAACATACAAACCACTCAAATCTGTTTTTATAGTCAGACAGGAAGATCTAAACCATCTGCCAACAAGAAAAGACCGAAATCATCCAGCATCAGAACCTCAAGTGTCAAGAAAAAGAAGAAAGTCAACTTTCTACTGAAAGAGAGATACCACAATAGCTGGAGAAAAGCTTAACTAGCCAGGATAGTATGGTAATGGACATGCTTGCATGCTGTTGCAACTATATTAAACAAGAAACCATATTTCTTATGACATTTTAATCAACAATTCCTATTACTGTAACACAGCAAAACAAAGGGAAGACATATATAAAATAAGCACAGATCGAACCTCTATTTTGGGTGCTTTCCCAGCAATTTGCAGGCAGCATCAAAGTGCAAGTTGCATTTCCTGATCACGCCCTTAAAACCCCCTTCAATTTCCTTTTCACAATTTGAAGTTGCCGTGTGGAGCTTGAGTGCCTCAGCAGCAGCTTCCTCCTCATTGATTGCGAAGTAAGGGTTGTACTTCTCGGGCCTGAACTCGTATCCGATGAAGATATAGAACGTGAGGGTGGCGAGCTCTCCGGTGAGCACGCTGTTCCACATGTACCGGTAGGAGGTGATGGCGAGGAGGGCGTAGACTACGACCCTGGTGATGTAAATGTAGCAGATGACCACGATGCAGTATTGACGGAAGAAAGTTAGCTTCAAGCGGTTAACGGCGGTCCTGGCGGCCTCCTGGAGGTTCTTGATGGACCAGAAAATTGGGAAGAGGACGGTGCAGCAGCAGACAACGTCGACGAGGAGGAAGAGCGGCTTCCGGGTGGCACGATTTGTCGATGGCGACCTGGGCCATGTTTGCGACGACCTGGAGGGGGATGACGGCCATGAGAACCTTCTTCGCGGTCTTGGACGAGGGTTTGAGGACCAGCCGGTGCCGATGAGGATCATGAGGGTAAAGAGGGAGATGCCCTTGAGGAAGCTGAAGATGTAGAAGAGGACGTCCCAGCCGCCGGCCGACCCGGTGCGCTCGAGGTAGGACTTCTCCTCGGCCTCGCAAAAGAGGCTGAGGGCCTTGAGGACGACGACGGCGAGCATGAAATAGTGGACCCCGAAGGCGGCGCTGCGCATGTGGAGGAGAGCGGCGGCGTAGGCGAAGCAGAGGAGGAAGTAGACGAGTGGGAGGACGGCGGCGCCGGCAGAGAGGTAGGCGTGGCGGGAGGGGTTGGAGGGTCGGGGCGGTCGAACATGGCGGAGCGGACAGTCATGGAGACACGGAGCGAGGGGAGGCAGTTGGCGAAGACGAGGGTGAACTGGCCGGGGATATCGGTGAGGTTGAAGGCGAGGCGGAAGGAGGAGGCGCGGGCGACGGCGACGCCGGAGGGTTAGGGCGGGGAAAGGAGCCGGTCGAAGGTGTAGACGACGCGGACGAGGTCGGATTGGAGGGCGCAGGTGATGTCAAGAACCTGCATGTGGCGGAGGACGCGCAGTCAAGTGTCCCGGGTGGAAAGGAAGAAGCCCAGCTGCCACAGGTAGACGTCCCCCGTCGTTGCCGACTCATAGGAGAAGGCGACGCCGGTGACATTGAGTTCCAGGCCGTCCCACCGGGTGAATCCGAAGTCATCGAAGGGGATGATGGCCCGAGAGTCCGACTGCACCTCCATCTCCCGGATCTACGGCCTCGCCGTCCACATCAACGACGCCATGATGGTCAACGCCAACGCCAACGCCAACGCCAACGCCGATGACATCGCCACCATGCCCATTGTCTCCTCTTCTCTTTCGTAACGGTGAAGGCAAAGAGACCATGATCTTGGTCTTGCCAAAGGCGAGGAGGAAGAAGAGAAAATAAATAATAGTTAGCAACACGAAGTTGGATAAATAATTAAATGAAATCCTTAGCTTCACATGCCGACCTGGAAATTAAATTTGACTTTTGCTTGGTCAACATCTCTGAAATGAATGGAATTATATCCACGTCAGTTCTTCATTCTTTGACTATTTTAGGATGAGCAGGGACTAGCAATGCAAAGTGATCTGTGATCCAACTTAGGTCCAGAATCCTTGTGCTATTGCTTTACACAAACCCACAGCTAGATGTGATCTCAAATACCATAAAAACTTTTGTGTAATTTATTGTACGATAAACGAGGTTTCTTTTAGCTTAAAATCAAATCCATTTCGATCAGGTCCAAAAGTAAGTCAAATTGAAAGAGGAATAGTCCAAGTCAAATCAGTGAATAATCCCTAAAAATTACACAAAAAATATAATCTGTAGCAAAAGAACAGAAAAATTAAACATATTATGCCAATGTTGTTATATCGACCAAAGGAAATCCTCCAAATCATGAACTCATAAGTGGAAGAGTTCATGGTGTAGATTGCTTGGACTTGTGATTGTAACGAAGAACAGAGAAGGTCAAATCAGGATAGAATTCAGGGAGCGCGAAACTCTTGTTACATTATCCCTGTCATAAATTATCTTAGAAAATACACAAAGCACACGTTCCAGAGAATATTATGATGCTAAATTTATACATGCGTGTAGAGGAAATTTACCAACAGGCACCCTGAACCAGATAGGTACACCTTGAATATAAGAGACCGATTTCATGAGTCCATATTAGAAGAGAAAAGAGTCCTTCACTAGGGAATTCGAAAGCAGAAGATGAAGCAGACCTGTAGATCATTCTGTGCATGCTTGTGCAGAAATGGCAGGTCGTTAGGTGTCATTTACAGGGTTTTCATCTTCTTCAGGTTTGACAAAGAACTCGATGTAAGCAATACGGCTAAGCTGCTGAATACCACCACTGGTATCACCATGGGAGTGCTGGCCACCTGCTCTTTTAACCGATACCAGATGCTGTATCTTCAGCATCCCTCCCCTCCCAATTGTCACTTTGCTTCCTCTATTGTCCTTCAAAATGCTATTAGGAATGTGTGAAGTTGTCGCACGGAGAAACTTGTACTTGTACCTATGAATTTAACCAATTAAATGTAGAACACTACGTAATTGTCAGGTAATCCAGAAAATGCAGTTTACCTGTACGACACACGGTGGTCGCACTGGAATGCAATCAAAAGCTCGGTATTTGCATAATAGGGGAACTCTACCTGTCAGAAGTTTAAATTGTTTGTAAATAAAAATGGGGTTCTCAGCAATGAGGCAAGTTCAAGATAAAGACCTTTTCAAACCTGCAAGTCACCATGGCCTTCACCTCTGAGTATAACGGAAGGAGGGTCTGGTTGTAGAACTATTTCGATGCTGGAGCCAGGCCATTCAAGATCATCAACTGCTTCCTTTAGTACAGCAGACTAACAATCATGAGGAAGCAGGACCACAATTAGCATCCGAACTGCTTTAGGATTAAAACAATATAGGCCAAGGATAGTGCAATACCCTGACTGTAAATGTGGCATGAACATTTCCGGTAGGCTGAAAATTATAGTCCCATGATATGGTGTCGGGAATCCTTGTTCTAATCTCCGCATAGATGCAAGCATCCGGAGAATCTACTGTCCTACAATGATGAATTTATAGAATTTCAAATTTTACAAAGAATATCAATCAAGCATATCTTCATCATAAAAGTCAAAGCCTATTCTATGAAATGGCACTGATGCATCAGATTAGTGATAATCCATTGAGCATCTAGGAAGAAAACACGTGTGGATACACTATGGAAGCACTGGAACAAGCTATTAGACCTTAAGTATAGCAAGTCAGGATTGACCACAAGCAAAGGCGGATGGGTCGTTTACCTGTGGTTATGGTTCCTGCCATACTTAACAGTTGACACAACCAAAGACAGTTTGCATCACTACCCATTATAATCATTTCTCAATGGACTAGTTGATGATAATAAATCAGTGGTCATTAATGTGATTGACCAAAGGAGAGGCAAAAGGGGATTGATCAAAATGGATGGTGAAGGAGGTCATTAGCCCATACCATATTGGATGGAGAAGACAAAAGAGAGAAAAACTGTTGATCCTTGGGATTTAGGTTGAGGTTTCCTCAGACATGAATAAAATTAAAATAGAGCATCCTCCCGTGACCGAAGTTTATAGCTGGACATTTAAAATTGGGAACTACCACTTGTATCCCTTCTTGCCATTCCAATATTGCCTTATGATCTTGGTGTTGCCATAGCATTTTCACAAAAGCACCAAATATTTTCATGGTGAAGACTTCTCCCAACCACAATAGGTCCCAAAATGGAGAAGAATACTCTATACGAGACCATGAAAGTAGATAAAGCATTTTTTACTAAAGAAGTGCTATCACTAATAATAGTTTTAGGATTTTCTTACTAAATATAGTTGGAATATTCGTTTTAGGAATTTCTTCTGGATTGTTTTTTTAAAAGATATTATGCTAACCTCATATAAAATTTTAAATATATACCAACTCATTTTATTTTATCAAATAATCAACATGGAATTAGGGAATTAATTCTTCACTGCAACAAGCTTCAAAGTCTATAATCAGTAGATCCATCTTTCATTTCCCAACTAGATAGGAATTATCAATGGGAAAGTATTTATTATTTAGCCAGAAAGACCATTGTATACCAACACATAGGGGTGTTCAAAGAGGTCTGAACCGAACCATTAAGGGTCAAACCAAACCAAACTGAAAAAAAAATTCAGTTCAGCTAGAGCAAGTTACTCGGAACCCGAACTGCAACCATTTCAGACCTACCTAACCGAACTGGTTCAAAACGAGTTCATCCGGTTCGATTAACCAGTGAACTGGTTTTCAGTTATAAGTAATTATATATATATATATATATATATATATATATATATATATATATATATATATATATATAATGGCCCAACAACATAATGCACGCTCTAAGCTCATTGAATACGAGAGACGTCCAAGCATGAATTCAGTGCCACTGTAGCTCGGGCAAAATCATCGAAAAGAATTGAGCTAACACTAACACACATATAGAGCTTTCATCATGAATATCAGCACGCTTTCTTGCAGGACAGAATATGTTACATTAGCTATGTTTCACCTCTGTTCAACGGCGATAAGGGTGTTAGAGAAAGAAGGGGTTACAGCGCTAAGTACCATATTTATACAAGTCTCTTAGTTTGCTCATTCTCTCTTTTGCATAGTAGTATATAATTGATGAATGTGACTCGCATCAAATCTTAAGTGCTTAAATGGATCTCTAGGACAACTACTTATTGCCCTTGGTTCCCTAAATGTCGATCTCTAGGACAACTATAGCGCCATAACAATTTCCCTTGGTTTCCTCGATCTCTAGGACAACTATATATCCCTGCACCTTAATTACAGAGGCTATAGTGCCATAACAATTCTCAAAGTCTATTGCAATGACCAATCGGTTTGATGTAACTCATTTCCCTAAACATAGCAACCCTTGTAACCCACTTGAATGTCGATCTGCCTGCTAAATCAAGAAGATCGGCACCCGATGTGCATACAAACAAAGAACACATACTACTTATTTCACCAATCCAACATCTGCCCATTCAGAATATAGTTACATCATAGAACATGCAAAGGAAAAATTAAACCAAAACACAGGAGCTTACTTCAAAAGAAGCTGCATGTCAGGGCCAGGGTACCGGATTTCGATCACAGGGGCATGTCCAGGGGTAGAAAATGTGTTGAGACAATCGACGAACAGCCCCAAACTCAGCCCAAACCGGGGCCGCCCCTCCGCCGTGTACTCGTACACAAGAAACAGCTGCAAAGATTTCACTTCTTGAATGCAAGAGCACATTTCCCGACGAGAACAAACAAATCGAAACACAAAGAAGGCGGTTCTTTGAACACAATACCTCGCGCTTTAGGTAGACCTTGGCCTGGAGGCAGCCGGATTCCTCCACGATAAGGACGACGCCGTGCTCCGAGATCTCGACGACGGCATCCTGGTCGCGGTGAACGGGTCAAAGGAAACCCTAAAAGAAAAAGAAGAGAGGGGCCGCAACCTGGTGGCGCTTCCATCGGACGGAGGAGAGAGCGTCGACCATGCCCTGGGCGCAGTCGAGCTGGCACACGAGGTCCGGCGCATCGCCGCCCATCCCGGCGTATGAGCTCATCGCCCTCTTCCTCTCCCTTCCCGCCCAAAGCACCAAATTCCAATGGCAAGATTTGGATGCGCGGGCACCAAAAGAGACTCGAGATGGGCTTTTGGGTTGGGTTCGGCCTCAGTCGAGACCCAAATCATACTATGGACCAATCGTTATATAGTCAACGAGCACACGCAGTGACGGTGGCCGGCGAAGCAGGAGATTGCTACATTGATCCTCCATATTGTCCCTTGATTCCATTGCTTCTGTCTTCCACTTCATGACATGTTTATAGGGAGGCTGATCGATTCATCGATGCTGATCTATTCATATCCCCCACATGTTTCGGTACTGCATAAAGGTTTTCGTGGCTGTGGGGAACGGTGATCATTTAGTTCTCCACATGTTTTGCATCAGTTTCATTTAGAAGAAGCTTCTTGTGTTCTCCTGTGTCGTGGGAATATACCTGATTCGGTTTCAGACTCACAGTTTCCGACTCCTAAAATCTAACGATCAGAATCGAATCAGATAGGGATTTGTTCCAATGATTTCAATCGTGAAATTATAATTTTTTTAAATAAAAAATATAATTATATTTATATATTTGAGTGTTGCTTGTCATGTGGTAGTTAACACGTGAATAGAACCCGTTGCCAACGCCCGGGAGAGGGTCGTGCGCTGTTCCGCGGTGCCGGGAAGAATGGTAATCTTACAGTCCACGTTGATTCATCGATTTAGGGGTCTTAACGCGAGCACAAATGGCTGGTGGTGTGTCCAAACAAATAAAGTTGAACGGTTAAGATCAAAAGTTACAGTAAGATCAACGGTTTGTTATTATTGTTGTCATCATATCTAATCACCCTCACACCACAGTAACAAGTTCTTTAACCCACGACGGAAGCCATGAGAGGCATTATTCCCACTACCCAAACGAGTCATTAGCTCTAATACGTCGAACCACCTACGGAGCAACAAAAAGGAAAGAAGACTGTAATCCTGGCTTCTTCGCCCGCAGGCTCCTCCTCCTCTTCCTCCTCCTCCTCCTCCTCCTCCTCTCAGCTCGTCTCCAGCTTGGTGAGGAGGGCGTCCCTGAGGCTGTCCTCCGCCTGCAGCCCATCCGGCACTCTCACCACCACATCATGCAGCATCACCTCTTTGACGCTTGACACGCTCGCGTGGTGCACCTGCAGCTCTAGCTCCCGCAGCACCTCCATCAGCTTCGCCGTCGGGTGGCTCACGTTCTCCGTTTGAACCCTGATCATCGCGTCCGGCCCCAGCGACTTCACCTCCACCTCCATCGTCGCTGGCCCTGCCGTCACCACCGACGACGAGGTGGTAGCCGTCCCGGTGCTGCTGGCCATGGCGCCGCAGGGGCGGTTGCTGGCGTCCACCACGTTTATCTCCTTCTTGGCCCTCTTCGAATCTGCCTCGAGATCCTCCAGCTTGGACTTCAGTTCCTTGATGTAGGAGACGGCGTCGGCTAGCAGGGACGCCTTGTCCATCCTCGACACGTTGGGCACCACCGAGCGCAGCGCGTAGAACCGGTGGTTCAGCTTCTCGCGCCGCTGCCGCTCGGCCTCGACGTGGTTCACCGGCGTCTCTCGCCTGCTGCCGGGCTTCCGCCCCCGCTTCTTGCCTCGGAGGCCCTCCACCGTCTGTCCTCCTTCGGAATCGGAGAACTGCTCCGTGTCGACCGACATCGACGGCCCGGAGACCTCCTTCTTCGAGACTGGGCTCGGCAGAGTCACGACAGGCGCCAGACCGGCGTCGGCCTCGTCGTCGGGAACGGAGAAGATGGCCTTGGCCTGCTGCACCAAGACCCAGTTCTCCCCAACGAGCTCGGAGGAGCCGAGCTCCAGGACGCCCCCAGCCACCGGCACGCACACTATCGTCTCGATCCCGTGAAGCTGTGCCTCGCGGGTTCGGTCGCAGCCGCACGTCTGGAGCGCATGCGCGCCCGTCAACCAGACGAGCGCCAGCGTGCCGTAGACGCGGGCGGGTACGGCGGCCTCCCCTGCCGCGAAGCACCGTGTGAGGGAAACCACGTAGAACCACTCGGCATCGTCGCCGTCGGTGCAGGCCTCATCGATCAGGACGGCATGGACACCACCGCCGCTGCCGCTCCTCGGTGGGACGCGCCTCCCGTCGAGCTCACGATTGCCGCGGAAATGGCCGTCGCCGAAGGCGAGAAGGTGGTGATCGGGGGAGGCGCGCCAGAAGATGGCGTAAGTCCACCACTCGGGTCGGGAGCCGAGGAGGCACTGCAGCCGGTGCTGAAGAGCGCTAGTAGCCGGCCGGTGAGCAGGGGCGGGGAAAAACGGTGGCAGCGACGGCAGAGAGGGGGGCGGTGGGGGAGGAGGGGAGCAAGACGAGGAGGAGGTGGAGATGATCTCTGCCATTTGCTGGACGGTGCTCGATATCCTCAGCTTCGACCTCCCACAGTCCGCAGCCACGACCATGGTGTCGCATCCAAGGATGTGGGTGGGGATTTAAATGGCCGGGGAAAGAGGCACATAGATAATGATTGATTGCACTGTCGCCATCTTTCCTGTCTTCCTCTTTCATCACCCCACCTCATAAATAGGAAGGGGAGTAAACAGCGAATGCGACGAGGTGATGGCCGTGAAGGGGAGAAAGGTCTGGGGAAGAACGGGGATGACGACGGGCAAAGGATCCTTCCTGTGGGCTTCGGGTGCGGCGAGCAAGGGAGCCATAATTGTGATGGTTGGGCTGTGCCGGGCTTTGTTGGTTTCCACGTAGCTCCTCCTCCTCCTCCGCTCTCTCAGAGTGCGGATCGATTCCTTTTCCCGGACGGGGAGAAGAAACATCGTGGAAGGTGACGGTGACCGTCGGACGGCACGTGCATTTGCCTCTTTGCGTGTTTGTCTGATCCGAATCCAATATGATCTCCACGGTATCTGACCGATGGCTCGAGTTGGGTCAACCGACATGCGGACAGATTCACTTCGATTGATTTATATAGATAGTTTAGTATTTTGAATTAGTAGTTTTAAGTCAGAATCAGATCGATATTTTGGATTATCAATTAACAAATTGATTATTTAATCAAATTAGATTGTGACGGATCGTATAAAATTAAAACAAGAAGAATAATCAAAATATTAGGATTGAATCTTGATAACGATATTAAGTATTTTAGTTCCACATAGGATATTTAAAAATTATTTAAATTAATTTAATTTTTTCTTAAATTTTTTTTATTTTTTCTCATACTTTTGTGTTTTATTCTCATTATTACCTCCGATCTCAATCCCATTCTAGAAAATATATTTATTATCATCAACACCGTGACTTTCATTGATTGACCAATCAAAGAGGAAGGTTGGGTCGAAGGTAAACGTATCAACGATGATAAGAGCCTAGATAGAGGTTAACATAGCACAGAGGAAGATTTGGATTGCTCATTCTTGAAGTTTCTTTCTCGATGATAATAAAAATATAGATAAAGATAAATCGAGAGAGTAAAGCGAGGGGAATCATATATTCCCATGAAGCAAAGGAGAAAGGATATCATGGACGAACGATAAAACCTTGCAAGGTAAAAACACTCACAATGAAAGAGTGAGACAATAAAACCTTACGGGATGAGCGATAACGTAAAGACTACCGTAATAGGAAAGTAGAGGCTATCACGATAGAATGACACAAAGACTAAGAATAAAATAATAAAATAATAAATAAATAATAAAAAATTATGTTTTTTGGAAACAGTTATCTAATTAATTTATATGAACTTAATTTGTACATCATGATATTTTGGATCTTTACGAATACATCAAACATTTAAATAAAAAATATTAGAATTAGCTGACTTAAGGAGATACTATAATTAATTGGAGAGTGTTTTGGGATTACAATCTTGCGTTCCAGTCCACATGGACATCATAAAGTACTTCAGTCGCAATCTGATTGACCACATACGACAGTGATAAAGAGACATCAAGAGGACACGTAGCATTCATCAGAGGTAGCATCTTCACTAGCTTTCATAGATCTTTAGGATCCCAGACATCGTTTCCCGGAAGAAACGCAGTCGTGACTGCGTCAATCACTGTATATGCTTTCGAGTCTTGTTGCAGAAGAAGCATCGTATGCTATTAGCAGGTGGAAGAAGAGAAGGATTAGATTACAAGATGAACGTGAAGGGTGACAGCATCAAAGACCAGAGCGGCTTAACCCTACGGACACATCCTATATACTGAGCACGAACACAGTCGCAGAACTGAGCCCTCCGCACCATCAAGCAGCGGCCTTTCTCGCCTTCTTCGCCGCAGGGGACCTGATCGACTTGGGCTGCTTCGGCTTCGGAGCAGCGGCCTTCTTTGCCTTCTTCGCTGTACCTGCATAAGCTTTCCTCTTGGTAGCCTCCCTTGGCTTCCTCGCCTCCCGTTCAGGCTGCTGCTTCTTCTCCATCTTCTTCGTCTCGTGATTCTTTCGGGCCTCCGACAGCTTGAATGAAGCCTTTACCTTCACAAGCTTCCCCTTTGCCGTGAAGTTCCTCAGCTGGACAGCCAAGACCTTCTTGTAGTTCTGCGGCAGCACTCCCTTGTGCTTCTCCTCTATGAACTTGGCGATCGCGTAAGGGCTCGATCCGGTCTTCTCGTTAAGGGCAATGATGGCCTCCTTGATCATCTAATTAGCCGACAAAAGGAAAAAATCGAATCTTGCACGCCTGTAGCATCAAATCGGAGAACAAAAGCCCAGAAAGGCGATAGCTTTCTCCTCACCTGGAAATAAGGCGGGTGAGACGGGGCGGAAGGCTTGGAACCCGTGCGCTTTTTATCCTTGGGGGATTTCGGGACCTTCGCCTTCTTCCCCTTCGCCGGCTTTTCCTCTGTGAACATCGGCACCTCCTCGGTGGCGACCTCAGCTCCGTCCTCGGTGGACATGGCTCGAGAAGCTTCCACACACTTCACGACTACGTTCTTCCGTGTTACTCTAATTGGGCGAGGGGGAATGTGATTTGGTGGGGAGCTTTTATAGTCGTGCAAAACAGGGGACGGACGGCTATGATTGGCGGCGAGGGGAGGCACACGGATCAGATCCTCTGCTACCGCATCTCAGCCGTCCATTTTTACAATGGACAGCAGAGATGGAAGGCAATCGCTTAGCTGTCGGGCGCCTGTGTCTCCAGCCGCGCGTTGCAACGCTGGAGGATAAGGCTGACGTAAGAAAAGGTGGATTAGTTGGATCAAAGATGTAGCAATGGAATTCGAAGAAACCACCAGTGGGCGTCTCTGAATCATTTTTAGTATTACTCATTTTATTAATATTCTTTTCTTAGGTTAAGATTAAAAGTTACTTTAATTTTTACACAAATAATTGCTTCCAATCACTTTATAATTCGAATATCATCTTAATTTGTAAGTGACTAAAAGTTGATAAAGCAATTAAATAGAGTATTAATAATAGGAGGATTCATTTACATAGTTAACACAACCCTACAGGTGTTATTTTAAATAGATCATACTTAATATTATTGTCTCGAGTTAATCACATGGAATGTCAAACTAATATTTGAATTCTTAACTTGTTAGCAATCAAATCAATATCGATAGTAAAAAAAATATGAATTATAAATGGTTTTTTTTTTCTTTTGCTAGCCTGAGTTTTGAGAAATATGTGGCATAATACACTTACAAACAGGCCTTCTTCATTGGGAAGGAGTAGAGAGAGTCTCTGTGGCATATCGACAAAGGAAATAACAATATGTTACCTTTCATTCGATCATGGAGTAATAATACTTAGGAGCTTTTTGAGCCTTCTTGAGATGCTTTATATATTCGAAATGCAGCAAAACACATTGTCATGTTGCCAAGAACTGTCAATGCAGCTTGAAGAGCCACCAGTATCTGCAAGGAGCTTAAACTGATCATGAAATAGAATAAATAGGCCTCCTCAAAATAAGAAACACCAGTGTTTTATGCATTTTAGAGAGCATTCAAGATGGGGTTTAGTGATTATTTGTGAACATGTTTGGATCATATCTGGGATGCTATGACTATTCCATCATCATAACCATGCTTTTCGACACACATGGCAAACATATTTTAGTTATCATTTACATGATTTTAGAACATTCCCTAAGGGTCAGATCTGTTTACATGTATCTGCACTATAAAATAAAATCAGGTAAAATATAATAAACTATAGGCATATGATGAATCTTTAATAAGAAATATCATGTTTTAGAACACATCTAAAACTCTGACGATTCCATCATAAGCATGCATTTTAACACATGAACATGATACAAACATCAAATATACCATCAGAACAGAAGTCAAATTGATGGGACAAACTGTATTAGCACTCATTTAAAGTATGCGACAAACATAATTTTAATTAACATTTACAGTCTTTTCATACACTTCCCAGAGGTCGATCTGTGCGAGCCATATACATGAGTTTGGAAGGGATCTCTGGTACATGCATCTGGACTATAATATAAAATTAGATAAAATATACAATGAATCTTTGAAAAGTGGTTCCTGAATTTGTATACTACAAAGAGATTAAAGTCCTTATTAATAGTTACTTCTGTAAGAATATAATTAAAAGATCGCACCTCATTAGAGCTGTGATATTATGTTAGCAAAATGATCATACCTCAAGGGACTCAGCATTATAAAAGAAATGCCATGTACATGCACAAAGTGCTCCTCCAAGAAGTGGAACCTGGATAACACGGATAAGTCAGTATCAACTCAGACCGCAAAGTTTCTAATATCCTAAATTAATCTCACAGCTTATGAGACCTAGCAATTATTGATGATATTTCCAACAAAATAACAAGAACCAACACGATGCATAAGTCTACCAAAAATCCTAGAGTACCTCCTGCCTGCTGCCTTTCCCAGTTCTTTTAACCTGAAAGGCAGCAAGTGGTCTCATTTGGTGTTGCCTCTCCAATCTGATGTACACAGATGATTAATCATGGGCATAGAGTAATGAAAACAGGCAAAACCTTGAAATGTCTAGCACAGTGCAAAACTTGAAAGAAGCTGTTGTTGTTCTTAGCTAGGAGGGGTGTCGACATGGTCAGTTCATCTGGTTTGATAGTTTATATAATTCCTAGGTTCTCTGGTTAGTGCAGCCCCAGATTTAACTCTTTTCACCCGGTCTTGCCACACATTATGATCAACACGGGTGCGGAGTCTCCTAATATGACATCCCTAACTAGCCAACAAATGATGACATCAAATCTTAAAAAGACAAAATATCTTTGCAGATATTTATAACCTTTGTCAATATGAGAAATATTTCACAACAATCATATGGTCATATGTGAACCCCATATCACCTGAATCCCGATGAATTTACTCTAACTATGTGCGGTGAAGGCCAAGATACTATGTAAATAGATCACCTATTTAGCTACAAACAAATACTCTCTCTTGCTACATAAAACACTCATTATTCCGCTCTTGGGTCGGTTCTAACTTGAGCGTCGAAAGATATTTAACATCTCGAGTTAGTTCTAACTCAAGCATTGGGGACCTCCTCGAGTTCGTCCCTAACACCAGTTTTACATGAATACGAGACATTTTGCACATTGGGCTCAAAGAATGGTAACAACACATCTTGCTTGGAAAGCAGGTTAAATGGGGATCGACATATTGGGCCGTCAAAAAGACGAACATTGTCTAGTAAATATAGGTGGGAAAATTATGCAGGTTGATTGGATAATCATCATCCACTAATATATATTTCTGTTGGGCAAACTATCTTCTGCACTACATCTATAGGTAGCATATTAATCCAATGAAGCAGGAGTTACAAGGAACTGCGACAACACACACCAATCGGCCTATCGAACCATGTATGTAAAAGCCTATCATCAAGATTAGGGATTTCTCAAGGTTAAAAAGGACTGTGAAATCCTCACAAGTATAAGCCAAAGCCAGATCTTTTGCTTACCATTCCCCAGGTGAGACCTTTCCAGGTCTGGAAACCGGATTTCTCCCCGTACTGCCACACCAACACCATCGCGATGACCCTTCCGACAAAAGAATCGCGGAACACCAAGATCAATATCAAGATCAGGGAAAGAACAGAGGGGATCGAGGGAGGAAGTCACCATTCAATGACGCTGGAGACGTGGATGGCCCAGGTGGGCAACGAGAGCGCGTTCTCGGGCTCTTGGAGGGCGGCAAGCGCCAAGACGGGAGCGTCGACCGGCAGCGCCTGCGCCGACGCCGCCATGGCGAGGGCTGCGGTTCCGCCCGCAACCAACGCCGCCGCCGCCGTGGGCAAGTTCCGCCGCTCCTCACGCCTGGTAGGCGACGCCGCCGAAGAAGCAGAGGAGGAGCCACCACGTGGTGCAGGAATTAGTGATGATGACCATGGTGAAGAAGAAGAAGAAGAAGAAGAAGGGGGTTTATGGTACGCTATCGACATGGCTGTGGCCATTGCGGCTTCAGTCTGAGAACGGTTGGCCCTTAATTGGGATGTCGTCTTATATCGAATTCTATTTCCTTCTCTTTTTTTATGGTCTTTTTCCAGGAGATTTAAAAGTGGGCCCAGATATAAATAATGGGTCCAGACATAACTCATGAGGCCCTAAATTTAATTCTATCAACTCCCAAATCCCATACTCAAACCTACAAAATTGAGGTTTCTACTAAGACTCAAATATGAGATCATATAATAATTCATTAAAACCAAAAAGTTACAAAAATGTCAACAAGCATAGTTGGTGAAAAACTATATAAGAAAAAGCTTTGGACCTCCTAATGATACAAAAAAAAAGAGAGTAAATATTTTAAGCTGCAATCTGAGGCCAATTTGATTCAGTTTGAGAACAACATAATATCTGCAGAAAGTTTGATTATACAGCAAAAGCTACTTGGCTTTGTCTCTTCTCAATCCATTATTCGTTTTTTTTTTTCCTACCTTCATGCCAAAACCATGCTGTAGTTTCAGTACATGCTGCCAATAGGTAAGAAACTAAACAATATGACTCATAAACTAAATTATGTCATAACAAGACCAAAAATGATTATATGTCAATGAACATCCCCCATCCTACCAGTAGAAACCAAAATCTTGAATCTACATCTGCAGCTTAATGAGGAGAATATGCACAATCTACTAGAAAAGCCAATTCAACTTAAACAAGAAGTGAACAGGTACAGAAGATTCTAAACTATCATCTAATACCCATAGCAAGAAGATTGTCGCACCAGCCAGCTGTGGAGGTTAAAAGTCGCATCAAACTGTATATTTCAATAATGTCCTTAGTATTTCAACACCACCCTTTATCTCCACCTCTCCAAGTTTGATTCTTGCGACGGTGTCCTAACTTTGGTTGCATGTTGAAGTCCAGAGATGACATGCTGACTGCCGAACTACAGCGTCCTCACACTACATAAACATTTGAAGTCACTTCAATTTATTAAAAGTGATGCCTGAAGAGGTGAGTTTTGAAACATCAGTAACTTAATTGCTTTTGGTAATTTTCTGTATTCTTTCCATAACTGTAGGAACATCTTTCTCTGTCAATGTCGTGAAGCAACATCTGAACCATCCAGGTTCGATACAGTGGCATGATGACCCAGGTGTCACATTGACCTTGGCCACATTCAGCAGATTATCCCAGAGCTTAAGCTCCCCTTTCTCACTATATGGTCGAATAAACATGCTCATGTCTGCCCAACAATAGAATCCACCACTGCTACTGGCACACTTGATACCCAACTGTTTCAGTCCATCAACAAATAAGGCATGCATGTCATGTAGTCTCGCTCTGTTCACTGCAAGATATTCTGAGATGAATTTTCTATCCGAGAGCATTGAGATAAGCAACCGTTGGGTAGGAGCTGAAATGGATGAAAACCTTGCCAGCTTTGATGCAGCAGCCAGGACATTTTCATTGTAAGAGTAGATGACTCCAACCCTAAAGCCTGGAACAGCAAGGTCTTTTGACAGTCCATATATTATATGGACCCTGCTCTTGTCAAAGCTTTCTGCATCTAGAACCTCGGCCACACTTACAAACTTATCGCTCCCATATGTCGATCCAGCAAATATTTCATCAGAAATCAGATGTATGTTTTTTTCCATAACAAAGTCCAGAAGGCCACATAGTGTCTCCCGATCTATAAGACTACCAACTGGATTGGAGGGGTTAGAAACAAGAACAGCACGAACCTTCATGCCTCGCTTCTTTACTTGGTTGTATGCTAGTTCAAGGGCAGCAATACTTATGCTAAAGTTATCAGTGCTTCGGCATGGAACAGGAATAAGCTCTACACCAGTTCGCCACTTGATATCCCTGTCCCACCTGCATTGGGTGCTTGTTAATTTTGTATACTATCTTGACTCATAAAAAATTGATCACTCAGTTAGAGTAAAAACTAATAGTCACCCAGGGTAATAAGGTGATGGAACAAGAAAAGCATCTCCAGGGTCAGCCAGACAGAAGCCTAGTGTCTCAACAGCAGGAGTGGCACCTGCAGTTAATACAACGTGTGACGGATTGAATGAAACTGACCCCTGCATGACTTGACCCATGAATTCAGCAACAGCCTGTTGAAAAAGCAATGAAGAACATTCAGGTGCTTTTGAATTTATATGACAGTAAATAAAACAAATCAGATTAGCAATTCATCACCTAATTAAAAACAAAAAATGATTTCAAGTCAGAAATGAAATCAGACAAAGTGGTGCTCTTGCAAACTGGAATAGAATTGGGAAAAAATCTCAGTAGACTGAAGGAATTAGTAACGGATGCCACTTATCTAAGACGTGAGTGAATAACTCAAGCAAATTCCACATGCAAGGAACCAGCATGGCCCATTACTTAGGCAGAAGCAGAAAAACCTATGAATCACCATAATGGACAAGGATGTGTTATGCACGGAATGCATTTTTATTAAGTTATCCCACAAATGTTCTCCATGGGAGGAAATGTCTCTCAAAAAAGTCAAAATTATCAATTAAATCTCAATATGTAAGCCTAAATACAAGAATATTTCAGTTGATAATACGAGATAATATCACACTTCTTGAAGATGAAATGATAGATGAACAATGAAGATCATGCTGGCTGATTTTCTTTCAGCTATAGTTCTTAGTATCCACCAAACTTATAGTCAAGATTTCCAGAGAGGAAAATTCTAGATGTAACCTTGTGAGAACAACATAGCTTTGTAATCAAACTTGATGTTCCACATAAAAAGATGAGCAACTTTGGACATACAAGATCTTGAGTGAGTAACCTGAAGACAATGGTTTTTTCATTCTTGTAGCAAATATATTCACCAGTTAATCACAGCAAACTACCAAATCCATAATTATGCTCCACCAAATGCCAGAAGTACATTTGAAATTAAAATACAAGGTAAATTAATTAAAATTTGTATGTCATAGTTACATATAAATTTGCAATTCTCGCTTGAATTTGTAAGTGTAAAATACAAGAACCATTATTTCCAAGCTAACGTCAAAAAAACTTCAACCTTTCTTATCGTGTTAAAAAAATCAGAAGTGGATATGATCATAGTATTTTCTCTGTTATGAAACTAATGAAATGGAAGGTATGAAAGATCCATTGCGACAAAATAAGAAACGTCAATTTGGAAATAGATTTGAAGCATCTAACATGCAGTTATAGACATTGCCTTATAACTACGAATGAGTTGTTAAATCCAATTCCACACATTAAGCATCATCAGGTTAATAAAAGGTAAAATATAATACAAAACAAGAATCAACATAATGTATCTATCAGTGAAAGTGTCTCCAAGATGGATCTTTAATAATGTTGTCTTCTCTTGCCTTTTGCCATGATGCTGTTCTGCCTTTTTAGTCATAAAATCAAGTATCTATATAAGCAAATAATTAAGCGTACAATCTCTTGGTATAATAATAAAAAGTATGCTTCGCTTAGGGATTTTCAAAAGTATGTTGTCTTCATTTTGATCTATGGAAATATCAGAAAAAAAACATAGATCAAAATGAATAAACATGCACACACCCAAAATCAGCTTCTTGTACAACAAATAGGCAGGCAGACTTCATCAGTGCAAAAGGCCCACAAAATTGAACAGACAAAACCAAGACTAAGCTGGAGAAGAAGGACAATATCGTCACAACCATCCGTAGATGCCATGTCACAATACATTAGGGCATAAATTTGTATCTAGTTTTTTTTTCTACACATAATAACAAAACAAGGAAGTCTTGACAAGGACTGAATTGATGGACATGAAAAAGAATCATAAACAGGTCATATACTGAGGTGTTCTAAATTGCTTCTCCTGTTGGTATTTGCATCATAAATCTTATTCAAATATTATTCTGAACCAGTGGCAATACAGACTCTAAGAGCGTGCACCAAGAAATGAGATCGAAAGATGTAGAAAACAAAAGGGAGAAAAGTTTCACTCACCGTCTTCAAATCCATCGATCCATCATAAGGCTGATACGTTGCCAGTCCCTGGATACTCAACTCTTCCTCCTCGTCATCCAACAGCAATGACTCCTTCCAATTCTTGACCAACCAATCTTGAATTATATCCAATGACAACTGTGCCAAAAACAAGCACCAAATCTTTCATATCGCCCATTGACATAGCAGGAAGCAAAGGAAGGGAGGATCACACACCCTATTCTCTGCCAGCCCAAGCAGAAGGAAGCCCTGGGGATTGATCGAGCGATTGTAGGGGTCATCGGCGCACCTCTTCAGCCCGACGTAGTAGGGGTTGTCGTCGTCCCTGACGACGGCGGTGCCGCGCGAGGAGAGGCGTGCTGGGCCAAAGGAGCCCCGGGGAGAGAGGAGGCCCCTCGAGAGCGACCGAGGGATGGAGGCGAGCTCGGGCAGGTTGGAGCCGGAGGCAGAGGAAGGGGGCGGCGGGGAAGAGGAGGAGGGGCGGTTGCGGCGGAGGTAGAACTGGAGGAAGTAGAAGAGGGCGCAGGGGATGAGGGAACCGAGGACGAGGCCGCCCCTCCCCTGCACCACGGCCTGGAGGGGGACTATGACGCGCATGGCTGCCTTTATCGATCGCTGGCGTGAGACCGTCCTCCTCCGTCTGGTCCTTCCTCCTCTAGCACACGGATCCCACCCGTGTCGTCGGCGGGCGGCGGCGGCGGCCGCGTCTTCGCTTACGGGCCCAGGCAAGCAGAGGCGCGCTGTTTATCCTGAGGTAGGGGTAGGGGTTGGAGTTGCCGAATGCGTGCCGCCTACTTCTGCTTATGTGTGGGTGTGAGAGAGAGAGGCGATATGGATTTGTTTTGAACCTTTCCTCCCCTTCAAATAATCATTATTTTATTTCTAATTATTAAAACAAATTTTAGTTATTATCAATCAACGCAATACATTAAAATGTATCCATCCAAGCCTTATTCAAGCTAACGTTTGGGCCAATCGGACCCAATTCGATCAGATTTGATCGATCGCTCATAAATTACTATCGATTATTTATGGAAATGATTGTATATATGTGACGGAAAATTAATATTGGATCAGAGATGCTATCAAGTCATCGGTGAGGTTTGTGTGGTAGGTGTACCAGTGGCATGTCAATTCTAAGTCTTAGATTCATTTTCTGATTTTTGTGATGCACAACGATATCTAGCTAACACATGTCACTATGATGCGTGTGTGTTGTCTTTTATGGCATTGGTATCATATATGGGTCATAAGCTCATCATAAATATCACTATGTTATGCATAAAATAAATAAATGATAAATTCTCCAGTAAAGTTTATTTTTTATTTTTTTTATTATAAATAGACCCGGTTTATTTTGAATTGAAATCGAACTGGCCGCAACTAAATTGGCCTCAGATGATTCATTTCGGTTCCGTTAGTATAACAAATTATTTTCAAATATTCAAAATAGATCAAATAAAGATTTATATAGGGTTGGTATAACATAAATAAAAAATTCCGATAAAAAAGAAAATAAATAACAAATTATGTAGTACAATAATCAATATTAAATCTTTGTTTGTCGGTGGACGGTTATAACAGACAAAAAAAATTTAAATTTAAATATGAATATAATAAGAAAGAAAAAAAAGGTAAAACAAAATATAACTTTTAACCTTAAGTAAATTAATATCATCATGAGAATAATATTTTCGACGTGTTTGTTGAGCAGCGACTGGGCTGAGTCGCAAAGGGAGGGACCGGCGTTCCGGCTCGCCCGCATCGACGTAGCGTCATCTCCTCTACGCCTTCCCCCGGGCGGGAATCCTTCGCCCTCGTCTCCGCCTCTTCCCTTAATCGCGAGCACGTCACGATCGGATCAGGCATCGCCTCGCCAGCGTCTTCGATTTGATCCTCGGGTTAAGCATCCGTCTCAAGTAAGATTCGCGGTGCTTGTACCTGATAGTCGTCCCCAACCCTAGCTCGAATCATGTTCTTCCTAAACATTAGGATGTTTTGTTTGACCAGAAATCTCTGATCGCAGGCATGCTCCCAATTCTGCTTTCTTCAATCAGCGGTTGAAGAATGTGCGGAGCGAAACAGGGTTTTAGCTGGAGGGACAAATGTCGGCAACACAAGTTTACATTCAGGTAGTGTGATATTTTGTTCATCTTATAATCAAGTGTTAGTATTCCATGCCGAATTCTAGTTGTTCTTATTTACCTGGTCTTGTTTTGCTTTCTAGTTACATGATGAGGCATAATTTTCTGAAAAGAGGCTGAATTCCTTGCATGTAATGTCGCTTGATCTAAAAATCTTTCAAGGGCAGTCGATAATGCACATATTACCAAAGAATTGCAGATACATCTAAAGCGACAGTAGACATGTGATTTGACAATGAAGTTCTCATCCTTTTTCTGGGTATTCTTTTACTTGCTGTCATTTGTGTGCTATATATATGTGGAAAAAGTTTTGGATTTCTCAAGGTTGTAAGGATAACTTAGAAACTGATACATTGACTCATTAAATATTATATGCATTTATAAGGATAATCTTGGTTTAGTTACAAAAGCTTGCATGAGACATTAGATCATGTTTGTTACTGAGAACTCTGTTCTTTTTGTCTTGGAAGCCAACGAGACATCTAAGTAGGTTTGATCATTCATTTTTCTAGTAGGTGTACTTAAACGATTGTTTCAAAACTGTTCAAGACTAAAAGATCAACATAGGTGAAAGTAATTGCAAATTGAGATTATTAGAACAGAGCTTATTTAAAATGCATACCAACAGGTTCGAAAGTGAAAAACTAATAAGCCATTAAGCGGAAGGATAAGAAAAAATATAATTGTTGTTAACATCAGGAGCACCCAACACTGCATGCTGATTACATGAGCCTGCTTCTTTGTTTTAAGGCCATTTTCCGATTTCTTGCTAAAGGAAGAAGGTGAGTTTCTAAAACCAAGATGTATTATCCACAAATTTAACTTGATGAAGGCTAATAACTAATAATCTGAATTTACGTACTACAAAACAATTAGTCTAATCACAACCTAAAAATACTGGATCTGTTATTCTAGAGTCCAAGAGCACATGTATGCATTGTTTAGAAAGCCTTTTTGCAACTATCACACACTGAAATCAGAAAAGAATCAGTTGGTTTTTCTTCTTTGTAAAAGACAACACAATTTTTTTATTGAACTGCACTTGCTTGTTTCAGGAGGTATTGCTGCAGTATAGCACTATAATGAATCTAATTTCTGGTAGTAGAGTAGGAATCCATGTCAAACAATGATAGTGTCAAAGTGGCACTTTGTTGCATGAGGTCAAGAACTTACATTTTTATGTAATTTCTACTTGGCAACTGCATGTAACATCTGCAGCTTGTTATGTCTCTTGTGGTTACCTGTAGATTCCAGCAACCGTATTCGCAAAGGAGAGTATTCTGCCTCCATTTTCTTGGATTCCAGGAATTCTATGCTACAAAACTCTTACACTGTTCTTACTGGGCAGGTACACTGTTCTTCTAGGCTGAGAAGAAACTCATTGTTCTGCTGACAAGTATCATGATATTTTGTGCCCTAAGATCAATTATGAGCTCGAACAACAGGTGTACAATCTTTTTACCTGCTACAATATTACATTGGAGATATTAGAAGGATATATCTATTAGGCTTATTGTTCAGATTCAATTTCTTCTATTAGAACACTGACATTTCGTCCAGGTGAACCCATGCAAATACAGTCATCGTGGATTCCAACAATGGTGGGTGAAAGCACCACTGGGAAAGGTACGCATCCACCGTCCACCGAAATGATTCTTGTTCTGAGTCAGTTACCACTAGACACGTGTCTTTTTTCGAGTAGTGCCTACTTGTCACCATCTTGGGGCCACCGGCGTCTCCACTCCTATTCCCCACACGACGGACAAGATGGTGGCCCGCGAGCACGGTCCGCGGAGGCCATTTTGACCAGATTCCACCGCAGCCCTCCCACACACACACACAGGGGAGGGACCAACTCCGATCCGTCATCCATCAGACTCGGATTAGAAAAGGGGGACTAAAATAGCTTAGAGTTCAAAGATAGTATCCCTAACGTGCGCACGTGCACGCCTCCCTGTTACCCAGAAAGTTAGGCAGAGAAAAAGAGAGAAAAGCATTTTATGTCAAATTCTACCTTCTTTTGTTCCCTCCCTCTCCTAATAATAACAAAAGAAAATAGAGTTAGGAAAAAGGAAGAGGAAGAAGCCTAATCTTCGTCTTCCGACTCCGTCAGCGGCTCCTCCTCTTCGTCATCGTCGTCGTCCCCGGCGCCTCCCATCAGTTGTAGCTCCTGCTTCTTTCCCTCTGTAAAAGTAACCGCTTGTTCTCCCTTCCTCGGCACGCTACCGCCTGCAGCAACGGCGACGCCGAGGCCCGGCATGGCGCTCGGATACATGGCTGCCGCCGCCGTCACGGGGTCCGGTCCAGCGAGATTGATGATCTGCGATCCGGCCGGGAACGCCCATATCTGCGCCTGACCCGACGGCTCAGCCGCTGCGGTTGGCTGCGGCAGCATCCACAGCGCCCCCGGTGGCAACACTCTCGCGACGCTGGAAGCGGCGGTGCCGCCTCTCACCGCCCACATCGGCACAATTCCCGTCGGAGCGATCGGCGCCAGTCCCGTCGACATGGACATGGGATCTTGAACCGGGTAGAACGCCGTGACCGTGTTGCCGCCAGCGACCCCCGCCGTCGCTCGCATTGGCGAGAGCTTCTTCCGCCTCTTTGCGGCGGACTCCTCCCCGGAGGTGGAGGTCAGCGGTGCGGAGGAGGCTGCTTCGGTAGGGATCTTGATTGCGCCGTCGACCACGGTGGCGATGGCCGGAACGGTGCCGGTTCCCGTAGCTGCGATGATCGCTGGCTCCGCATGCTGCAGGAGCCAGCGGATGGTCTCCCCGTCCGACTTGTGACCAAGCTCGCGGGTGAGCTGGAAGATCCGTGCGGCGCACGCCGCCGGCATTCGGATGCGCCGCCCTCGTCCCTCCACTTTGGTGTGCCTGTCCTTCGTCCTCCCTGAGGGTCGCCGCAGGATCGGCATCGCGCCTATCCCCAGCAACTCCATGGGCTCCGGCTTCGGGGCGATCCGCCGGTGTAACGTCACGGCCACGCTTCCAACAGCGGAGCCGTCGACTCCTCTTCCTCCACTGCTCGCTCCGTGGACGCCACCGTCGTCGTCCTCTCCCTTCGGCGACGAATCCATGGCGAAAACGCAAGTCTCAGTGTGGGCGGCGATGTGGGACTGGGAGGAGAGAGAACAAAGCCCTCCACGGTGAGCCCACCCATCCTTTTATTCGCTGGTCTCGTGTGAGCCCAGTGTGGGTGGATCGGACGGCTGTTGAAGGCGGTACACCGACCGCCCACTTCACTGCTCGTGTGGTGGGCCGTCCGATGCGAAGAAGGGTCCAACGCTTTCGAGGCATCGGTTGGTGGTGGGGCCACCACGGGTGGGAACGGGACGGTGCATTAGCAGGCGATGGGCCCGAAGGGGTTAGGTTGGCCCTAAAAATACCGAATCTTCTCTTCTTTTTCACGCCAGTTTCTTCGTCGGAGGCTCGTGCGTCCTCATCCCTTGTCTAGGCCGAGGCGGGGAACGCGGTTTTACACACTCTCTTGCGCCACGTTGCGCGGATGGTATCATCTCTTTGCGAATACAAGGGCCTACTGTTTCTTATGTGGCCTGCGTGTCGAGGAACGATTGGCGCCCTACGAGGGGGCGGATCCTGTAGTTGAAGCGAGTCGACTGATGTGATCGGGCGGATTCTTTGGTTGAAGCGCGTCAACTAATGTGATTGGGTCCCATCACTTCGGTCAACGGAAGAGTCTAGGCCCCACAGTCCAGGCGACTCTCTCTGGTCATGGACAATGAAACGGTGTTTACCTACTGTCCGATGCCGCGCTTTGTTGAACGTACACGTCGAGAGCAGTTTGGACACGTCTATCAAGTCTTTCTCACTCGATGTGTCGCCTCAAAGACCCTTTTGAGGGTCATCATAGATATCTTATTGTCAGATATCTCTGTGGCACTGCACCTTCCGTGCCAGACATTCAATTTCGATATCTTCTCATCACTAACTTCCATGCTTTGCACTTCTTCAACAATATCATGCACGAGAAAAGGACCGGCGCCGGGTATCATGGAGATGTGCATGATGCACAGGAACAGTCTGTCCAATCTCACATGATCCTTGACATCCATCGATCCATCACCCGTACCTCAGTGAGTCTGTGTTTTGAGAAAGTACGAGACGTTAAGATTTCTCCTTTGCAACATAGACGAGAGACATAAAAATAATCCCTTTATATAAAGGTTAAACATGCATTAATTGGTAGGAGCCTCATATCTAGCTCTCGAATTACAATAATTGTTTATTGAATAAGAAAAAGGAAACAGACCAAACCCACACAATTAATAATCCGACATCCATTAAAAAATAAAACTCAAAACATGAGGCAACTGGCAATAAAAATTACACAAATAAACATCACAAAAAAAATTACATGAATAAATCCCCACATGCACTCGCAACTACATGAGAGAGTGAAATTTTCTTTAGTTCCATCTCCTGCAGTACAGCAGACGCCTAACAAATCATGACATTTATTGCAAACATAATGGCTTTTCTGAAACATGGCAATCCAAGGAAGACTCTTAGTCTCCAATGGACATGAATAAATTGAATTGAGCTGGTCAACCAACTATACAGCTTATGCAAGCAATAAAGAAATAAGAATAAGAGGCAATAATAGTTGATGCAGCTACTCAGAAGAGAGAATTGTAGTTGCGGATGGTGGCAGCAATGGATGCTACGCAGATTAATAAAGAGGGGAACAAGGTGATGTTGAGGAGCTTGCTTTCGCCCAAATAGCCAGCAAGCGTAATAGTACCATCAGCAACCACCCGAGCCAAAGTCCCTGCTTCTGTCGATAGCAGCCCACCATTGTAAGTTCCTCGTGCCAAGCGGGATGACATAACTTGAGACAGGAGGGATAGATTGACACCTGCATCAATCCGACTAATCTGCATTAGTCCCCTCGGAGTATATCTCAACCAACCCTACCCCCTTCCCTGAATTATTATTTCAATACCAAAATGATCAATTTTCTGGTCCTTTTAAGCTATAATTGCTCTCGTTGAAGTCCAGTTTATGCTCTCCAAAAACAATACATGCAATATTTTGAATGTTGTTGCCATATATATGAAAAGCTATTGATTTTTTTCAAAAAAAAACCAGATAAAGTCACCATTCCTCAAAACCTTATATATATA